TTATGTTGGTGAAAAAAGGTATTTGCAATGAAGTCATTGGTCTTGCAAAAATCTATCATGCCATCTCCAGCATCATTTCTATCACTGAGGCCATTGTTTTCCAACTACCAATTCTTCTTCGTTTCCAACTTTCGCATTCCAATCACCAGTAATTATCAATGAATCCTGACTGCATATTCGATCATTTTCAGACTGCAGAAGCTGCTAAAAATCTTCAACATCTTCATCTTTGGCCTTAGTGGTTGGTGCATAAATTTGAATAGCAGTCATATTAACTGGTCTTCCTTATAGGCATATGGTTCCTTGTAGGCATATGGATGTTATCCTATCACTGATAGGGTTGTACTTTAGGATCGATCTTGAAATGTTCTTTTTGACTATGAATGCAACGCCACTGCTCTTCAAGGTGTCATTCCCAGCACTGTAGACCATATGATTGTCCGATTCAAAATGGCCAACACCAGTCCATTTCAGCTCACCAATGCCTAGGATATCAATGTTTATGCATTCCATTTCATTTTTTACTTCCAATTTCCCTAGATTCATACTTCGTACGTTCCACGTTCTGATTATTAATGGATGTTTGCAGCTGTTTCTTCTCATTTTGAGTCATGCCATGTTTCTTCTCATTTTGAGTCATGCCACATCAGCAAATGAAGGTCCCAAAAGCTTGACTCCATCCACGTCATTAAGGTTGACTCTACTTTTGAGGAGGCAGCTCTTCCCCCAGTCGAATTTTGAGTGCCTTCCAACCCGGGGGGCTCATCTTCTGGCACTACATCAGACTATGTTCCGCTGTTATTCATAAGGTTTTCACTGGCTAACTCTTTTCAGACGTAGACTGCCGAGTCCTTCTTCCTAGTACCTGAATTTAGAGACCTTCTCAAGAATAGATTTCATGTGTTGAACACTAACGACCAAAGATCACAGGAGTTGTGGAATGACATTTAGGACATCATACGTGAAGAAAACAAGGGGTCATTAAAAAGACAGGAAAGAAAGAAACGACCAAAATTGATGTCAGAAGAGACTGAAACTTGCTCCTCAACATTGAGAACCTAAGTAAAAGGAAAAAATGATGAAGTAAAAGAACTGAAGAGAAGATCTCAAAGGATGGCTCGAAAAGACAAAGTAGTATAAGAACATGTGCAAAAAGCTGGAGATAGAAAACCAAAAGGGAAGAACACGCTTGGCATTTCTCAAGCCGAAAGAACTGAAGAAAAAATTCAAGTCTCGAGTTTGCAATATTGAAGGATTCTATGGGGAAAATATTAGACGACACAGGAAGCATCAAAAGAAGATGGAAGGAATACACAGTCATTATACCAAAAAGAACTGGTCAACGTTCAGCCATTTCAAGAGGTAGCATATGATCAGGAACCAATGGTACTGAAGGAAGAAGTCCAAGCTGTGCTGAAGGCACTGGCGAAAAACAAGGTTCCAGGAATTGACAGAATATCGAGATGTTTAAACAAACGGATGCAGCACTTGAAGTGCTCACTCATCTATGCCAAGAAATTTGGAAGACAGCTACCTGGTCAACCGACTGGAAGACATCCATATTTATGCCTATTCCCAAGAAAGGTGCTCCAACCAAATGCATAAATTACCAAACAATATCATTAATATCACACTCAAGTAAAATTTTGCTGAAGATCATTCAAAAGCGGCTGCAGCAGTATATCAACAGAGAACTGCCAGAAATTCAGGCCAGATTCAGAAGAGGACGTGGAACCAGGGATACCACTGCTGATGTCAGATGGATCCTGGCTGAAAGCAGAGAATACCAGAAAGATGTTTACCTGTCTGTGTTTTATTAGCTATGGAAAGGCATTCGACTGTGCGGATCATAACAAATTATGGATAACAATGCAAAGAATGGGAATTCCAGAACAGTTAATTGTGCTCATAAGGAACCTGTACGTAGATCAAGAGGCAGTTGTTCGAACAGAACAAGGGGATACTTCGTGGTTTAAAGTCAGGAAAGGTGCATGTCAGGGTTGTATTCTTTCTCCATACCTATTCAATCTGTATGCTGAGCAAATAATCCAAGAAGCTGGATTATATGAAAAAGAACAGGGCATCAGGATTGAAGGAAGACTCATTAACAACCTGCAATATGCAGATGACACAACCTCACTTGCTAAAGTGAAGAGGACTCAAAGTACTTACTGACGAAGATCAAAGACCACAGCCTTCAGTATGGATTACACTTCAACATAAAGAAAACAAAAAAATCCCCACAACTGGACCAATAAGCAACATCATGCTAAATTAAGAAAAGACTGAAGTTGTCAAGGATTTCATTTCACTTGGATCCACAATCAACACCAAGGGAAGCAGCAGTCAAGAAATCAAAAGATGCGTTGTATTGGGCAAATCCGCTGCAAAAGACCTTTTTAAAGTGTTGAAAAGCAAAGATGTCACCTTGAGGACCAAGGTGTGCCTGACCCAAGCCAGGGTGTTTTCAATCTCCTCATATGCATGTGAAAGCTGGACAATGAATAAGGAAGACCCAAGAAATGACGCCTTTGAATTGCGGTGTTGGTGAAGAATACAGAGCATACCATGGACTGCCAAAAGAACAAACAGGTTTGTCTTGGAAGAAGTACAACCAGGATGCTCCTTAGAAGCAAGGATGGCGAGACTACGTTTTATATACTTGGAACATACTGTCAGGAGAGATCAGTCCCTGGAGAAGGACATCATGCTTGGTAAAGCAGAGGGTCAGCGAGAAAGAGGAAGACCCTCAACAAGATGGATCGACAAAGTGGCTACAATGGGCTTGAGTGTAAGTATTGTGAGGATGGCGCAGGACCGGGCAGTGTTTCCTTCTGTTGTTCATAGGGCTGCTGTGAGTTGGAACTGATTCGACAGCACCTAACAACAAGACAAACATTTGACTGACGTTAGATACAAACCGTACCTAACTGTTCCAACTTACATACAAATTGGACTTAAAAGATAGACTAACGAACAGAACTCCTTCATAATCTGGGGGCTGCCTGTAAATGAAATTTACCATCAAATCATGCATTTTATTTTTAAGTTACGTGCTACACATCTTCATCAGTGAAGTTTATCATCACTGTATACGTAGGTGTCTGAGACATTATGTCCCTGACCTCTCTGGGTCTCAGTTTCCCCCACCACACACATGGTTGGAGGAGTTGGATGGGCTCCCAGGTGTGCAAGGTTGGTGCCAGCTGTTGTTAAAGCACCTACTACTTGCAGCATTGAGCTGGGGGCAAGAATGAGGGCAGGGGGACAGACTCAGCATCTGGCCCAAAGCCACAGGGGATGGCTGTGGATGGCCAAATTCTGGGAGTCAAGGTGAAGGCCCCTACACTTCCTTCCTTAAGACCCCAGAGGGGCTGGGGACTGCTCTGAGGATTCTCAGTGACTGAGACATGGCAGGGGTAGGGGACATGGATTCACTGTACAGGTGCAGAGACTGAGCCAGTGACAGGGCAGGACCTGCTGGGGCCAGAGCACCTTCCTCCAGCCACTCCTGTCCCTCAATTCTGCAGGGCAAGGGGCCTCTTTCACCAGTGGCTGAAGAAAGGCTAGGTCTGGCTTCGTCACACCTATACAAGGAGGTTCTTACAGCTCCCCAGCCCTCCCCATGAGCCCCCATGCCACCCCCAACTGGCAGCATCCCAGGTGGGTGGGAGGATGCCCACTTCTGCCATGTGCAGTCTGAATGACCTCAGGCCAGTCCCTAGCCCTCATCTCCAATGTGTCCTCTCTGGGCATCCCAGGCTGCCTGCTGTCTCCTCAGCCCACTGGCTACTCCTGCAGGCCCATCTGGCCACAGCCACACAGGGGCACTGGTCCTCCTTTCACAGATCGACTCTTTACAGAATGAGTTCTGACCAGTCGTTTGCCTCCTCTGGCCTCTCCTCTCCTGTTGTTAAACAGCAGTTAAGTGGCTGCCTAAGTTTCCAAAGCAAGACTTTAGCCCCAGGAGGCTGGCTCTGAGCACTGAACAGAGTGAGGGAGACGCTATGCAGCAACCTTTGGCCAGGCTCCGGTAGCCAGGTCTGGGACTCATGTTCTCTGAGCCGCAGCTCACCTACCCAAAAGCACCTTCTTCCCGTGTCCCACAGCTCTCCTGTAAGGTGTCTCGGAAGCAGGACAAGCTCTGCCCACTGCTGGGGCCCCACTATTGCCTAGCACTTACTGGGAACCGACGAACATGTTTAAAGTGCAAAACTACCTATTTATCTTCCGTAAAGCCAGGCCCTCCTCTCTGGCTTCTGTGCTGCTGTGCCCTCTGGCAGGCAGCCTCTCTGATCGCCCCAGGAAGAGTAGCTTCCAAAACTCAGCAGGGTGGTCCTGGCCCCTGGGGCCAAGTTTATGAAGTCTGTCCTCTGTGGAGGGGGTAAGGCAGGGGGCAGAGAGCAAGCCCACCACCAGCTCTCAGCCCAGGGCTAGTCACATGAAAGCCTGTGTGTCTGTGATGGGTCCTCTCCTGCAGGGTGCTGGTGGGTGATAAGCTCTGCCCAGCCCCACCTATCCAAAGTTTTAAGGGAAAAACAAAGGGATAAAGGAAGCACCGAAGGCAAGCCTTCTCTTATTACAGCATCAGACAATTGTTTCAAAATATATTAGATTTGGTTTTTATTGTAGAGCACACATCTTAGGGCAAAGTGCTGCACATACAACTACAAATCATTTTTGGGAAAAAGCTGTAAAAAAAATAAACCTGCAACTGCTTTAGTTATATAGTCCCAACTTGAAGAATCCACACTGGCAAAGGAGTTCTGGTCCCTGAGAGGGACTTCTTGATGGTGGCTGCCCCCGATTTCTCAGCCTCTGCAGTCTCAGACCCAAGCATCTGTAGGACAATGCCCAGTGGATGGTGGTACCTGGGGCTGGGACAGCCTCTGCTTTCAGCCCTGGCCCCGGCTGGCAAGGAGAAATTCCTGATGAATCTAGATTAGCAAAACCCTGCAGCCTTCGAGGATCTGAACGGGTAGAAACTGCCAAAGACTTTATATTGTTTATTTCTTTTATTATTATCTTTTTAAAAGGCTTTTCCCCAGTTCCCACCCCCACTGAGGCAGAGGGGCACCCACCTAGTCTAAAGGCCCGAGCCGTGGCCTTGGATGCATGCTGCAGGCAGACAAAGGTGTGGGTGCCTCCCCAGGGGGGACACCATGGGGAGAGGGCCCAAGCTGGCCAATGTTGGAGAGGCGAAGGGAAAGGAAAAAGCCAGGAGACCAAAGGAAAAATAAAAACTCAGAACAAAAAACCCTACCACACACCACGACAATATTCCATACCGCACATGCTAGACTTGGGAGGACACCCGTCCCTCTAGCTAGAAACAATCCTAAAGTGACCCAACACGGCAAGTCTCCACTGCTCCATACAGTCACACATGTATTTTGGAAACAAGCAACCCAGCGAAGAGGTTTTGATAAAAGGGGCCAAGATCATGGCAGCCTCTGGGCGGCCCCAAGGAACTGTAGGCTGAGCATGCCAGTGGGCTCAGAGGCGGCCCAGGGGCTGAGCAACAGCTCTGGGGAGGCAGGGGCGGACCCTGTTTGTGCACCACCCAGCCAACCTGAACAACTCTTCCAGAGGCAAAAAAATGGTGTTTGCATGAGCTTGTGGGACCTAGAGAGCAAATGCGAAGTGGGAGGGCAGCAGAGCCAGCGCTGATCAGACTATGGGCGGAGCTGGCAAGGCTCCCAGAGACCTCAACCAAGCGCAGATGTCATTGGAGAAAGGGGAGGGGCAGAAGATGAAACTTTGTTTAAAATACTGAAAAGATTTAAATTTAAAGCAAACCAAGAATTTTCTTAATCAAAACATTTTGTTTGCTTTTAAATAAATCCAGTCTGACACAGCCCCACTTGAGGACGGCTACCCCCACGCCTCCACTGGTCACTCCAGTGTCAGCTTCTGTGCCCAACAAACACCAACAACCTTTCCACCCAGGACGAAAACCAAGAACACAAGGACCTAGGTCCTGGCTATTCTGTTCTTCAGCCTTGAAAGACAACAAACCAAGGGAAAAAAATATAGGATCCAAAAAAACCAAAAACAAAAACCATCAAAACAAAACAAAATGAAAAAGAGGGGGCAGCTACATGAGGATGAACCAGAGTTCCCCGGAGGGATGTGGGCAGCAGGCCTCAGTGCCTTCTCATCTTCACCTTCCGAGCAGGGCTGCCAGCCGCCTCTGCGCAGTCCTCCGCAGACTCGTAGGACTTGCGCCAGTAGTTCTCCGAGCTGAAGCTCCCCCTCCGCCGGTGTGTGGGCAGCAGCACTGAGCGCCGATTCTCTTCCTTGTCCATCTCTAGGATCCGTGGCCTGCAAGGAAGGGGCACATGACCTGACAGGTACCTCACCTGGGGGATGGATTACTCTGGCTCCAGGGTTCTTATGAGAAACGTGCTGGCAGATGCACTGGCACTGTAGGTCCTGGTCCACTAAGTGCCAGTGGCCACCCCAGTCTTTGAAACATTTCCCAGTGACCCTGTGGGGTCTGCTCGGCCCTGAGGGGCAGAGTCTGGGGCCCAGGACACTGCCAGGGCTACTGGACAAAAGAGACCTTTCCTATCACAGCCTCACGACCTTGCATGGTCCAGCCCATCTACCTTTACTTCTCTGACCTTCTCCTGCACCTCCGCCCCCCAACCCCCAGCCTCTCCTTTCTCTCTACTACCTCCCTGCTCTCCAACCCCTCTAATCCATGAAACCACAAAGTTCTCTTTCCTTCCAGCCTTGGGCTTTGGCCCACACAGCACCTCCAAACTAGAACACCTTTCCAGCAGATCTTTCTCATCCTTCTGACCTCAGCCTAAACATGAGCTCTTCAGAAACCTCTCCCAACTCTGGTTTGCAATCCTCCAAGTCATGAGCTCCCCTCTTATATTAAATATGAACCCACACATCTTTCTGGGTGGAAGTGAACAAAGGAAGACATGCAAAAGCCATGAAGCATTCCCAACAGTCTTTTCCTAATCCCTTCTCTCTGAGGGTACAGGCAGCTGGCCAGGGGATAGGTGGACTAACGTCACCAACCTAGAGGAAGCAGGAGTCAGGCTCAAGAGGGTGGGGAATCCCAGGCTCCCACCCAGCCAACCCCTAGGCTTCCCACCCACCTCACCTTGCAGCCAGGTCCGAAGGCCACCATGGTGGCCTTCAGTGAAAGGCCCCAGCCAAGTACCTGTGGGCAGCATCAGGGTCTGCCTTCCGATGGGACCGCTTGGACTTCAGAGCAGGGTCCCTGTTGTTTCCCGACAACCGATCTGAAGCATAGCTGGGTGGCAACACAGAGCTGCTCAGGGACTTTGTTTCCAACCGGGGCGCATCTAACCTCGTCCTGCAAAGGAAACACACGTGGTGTCGCCAACAGACCTCAGGGAGGGTACTGGCCTCACTCAGGTCAATTCCCTTAGGCCAGGCCTAGTCCAGCAGTCTCTGTCCTGTGCTTGTGTTAGTCTCCTCCTGGCTTAACTAGGGATTTAAGCAGCTGACTTTCAAAGACCCTCCTTCTTAAGCTGAAGCTTAGAAGCAGATAAGAAACATCTTTGTTTGGAGACTTCCAATGGTAGGGACCTGCTGCCTCAGGGAAAGACACCAGGGCTATTTCGGCAGAATGGGGCAGCCCCACCTCTCCTCACTCAGGCTCAGAAGTTCTCCCGAGGCATCTGTTCCACCTGCCCGAGGACTGAGGGCCCTATCAGTAGGCACCAGCACACTTAAACAGACGCCTCCCTCATCCTTGCCTGAAATAACTAAACATGGAGGCTGCCCTGGCCCCAGCCTATAGGAGGACAGAAGAAAAGTGACCAGAGCTGCCCACTCATCACTGTGAACACAGGGACACCGAGGCTGGGGCACAGCTGGCCTTGGCTTCCTGACGTGAGAGTGGCAGAGCCAGGAGCCCTGGCCCACTCCAAACCATGAGCCTGGCTTGGGTGGTGCTCTGGTCCTGCCACATAGTTGGCCTTCTGGTTGTCCCAGGGTGCTGAGTGGAGGCCAGAGGAGGCTAAAGGTAAAGCCTTTAGAGTTTTCGTGTCCCCACCCAGCACTATCTAGAGAAGGGAAACCATGTGAGTGTGGCCAGGGAGGACAAGGAGGAGCTGGGCAGAGACCCTTCAGGGTGCTTACTTACATCCCTCATGAAGCAAGGCAGGGAGGAGCTGGCCTGGGAAAACCACAAAGAGGCTCTGTGGCTTCTTGTGTGGCAGAGAGAAGGCTGGTGGGTCAGGCAGGGAAGCAGAGGCAGGAGAGGAGTCTGCGTAACAGCCTGGGGTGGGAGGGGTGGGGGCACAGGTGGTGCTGAGAAGTAGGGACTGTGGCCAGGGCAGGACTCAAAGGACACACCTTGCAGGAATGCTGCAGGGGAGAGAGCAGAAGAGAAATCTAAGAGCTGCCTTGGGCTAGGCTGCCCGGAGTTCTGGGTGACAACTGCAACCCGGCCTCCATGGCGGCCCCTCTGTCAGCCTGGCCTAGTGTAAACAGGTGGGGAAACTAGGTCAGAAAGCTGAAGGTCACACCTCCCAGAGGTCATGGGAGCAAACCGTCAAATCCATAGGAAGGAGCCAGGGGTCTGACCTGGCAGAGGTCTATATCCTGAGCCAGCATAGGGTTCTCCCTCCTTCCAGCTGGGGACCCAAGTTCCTAATGCCCTCAGGGCCACACTGGTGAGTAGCTGGGCAGGGCAGCCACCCCTCCCCCTTTGCTTTGGCCTCACAGAATGGGAGGCCAGAGGGACACAGCAGCATCTGCTAGCCCACCAGTCTCAGCCTCCACAGCGCCTGCTTGGGTTCAGGGACCTAAACAGCAAGGAGGAGGAAGAGCCAGCCCTGGCGCTGCCACTCAGAGCCCAGGCTGGTCACTGTCCCATTCCAGTCCTGTTTCCCCAGCTAAGCAGATGAGGGAGAAATGTGACTGGCTCTAAGGCCTCCTTCAGTTCTGAGAGTCTAGCAGTCAAAGCAGTGGCTTCCTTCAAGGCTAGGGGTCTGTAGAGGGGCACAGCACAAGAGGCGGTACTGGGCAGCACCCAGATTGAGGATGTGCATGAGAATCACTTGCGCTGAGGCCCTTTTCTATACCAGGCCGGGCTTCCAATCCTTCAAGTGAGAGGTCCAGGGAGCAGAGATCAGACCAAATGAGCCATTAAGCTCGACTCAAGAGGACTCCAAGGATCTGAAGCCACATGGAAGAAAGTCCCTCCCCTGACACCTACAGGGCTAAGTCCAACACTAAGACTCTGCAGGTGCTGGGGATCCCATGCTCAGGGCAGGAAGGCCCCTGGGTGCCAGTGAAGCCCTGGTGGGCAGGGCCTGGCATCCTGGACTTGTTTTCTTAGGTGAGTGATGGAGGGCAAGAGAACAGCAGAGCCACCAAGACTAGAGCCTGGGCCTCAGCTGAGCCCACGCCTCTGTAGCTGGGAAATGTGAGCACACCCTGCCACGCTGGCACAACTGACATGCACCAGGCCACGGCAGGTACCCCAATTCTCCTAAAGCTGTTTCCTACTCCAGGTGGCTAGCCTGGACAGGTGAGGTAGGGGTGGTAGCCCCTTGCCTTGGGTCTAGGACTGCGAGAGAGGCTAGGGACAGACAAGCCAGGGGCACCAACTGCCTCTCTGCTTCTCTCCCCAGCTGCCAGAGAAGGGGAAGGAGATTGTTCCCCTACAGCATGAGACGCCTGCTGCCATCAGGGGGCAGCCTCCAGAGAAGGGGTGATCAGAGGTGGCCATACCAGAAACCCAGCCTTCTGCACCCACTTTGGGGACAGCATGAACTCCTGGCACATCCCCTGCGGCTGTTACAGTCTATCTCATCACAGCTGGAGAGCTCCTGCCCCCTCCTCCAAAAAGCCACCAAACTGCAGGAAGCCAGGCTAGAGCTAGACCCCAAGTCCAGAGCCTAGCAGCAGCTTAACTCCAGGACACAGCCCTCTTACAAGCCCCCTCAGAGTTTGGTGCAGAGAGCCCCATGTTTGGAGTCAGGAGGCCCCATTCTAGTCTTCAGTCTGAGCCTGGATCTCCTTAGGCGGGTGACAGAAACGAAGACCTGTCTTAGATTTGAGTCAGCACCCAGGAGCACAGGAGGCCCCCTCAGGTATGAGAAGAAAGGTACTTTCTGAATGACCACCTCATCCAGAGAGAAGAAGTCCCCCAGGTCTCCCAGGGTGTCAGGGCAGCCCCCAAGATAAGGCAGGGATGAGGCCTAGGTACAAGTGAAACCTTGAGGATGCCTTCATGCATGGACTAAAGGGAGGGAAGCCACTATGGCTGCTCCAGGTGCTCCCTCACTCTCCTTTCTCACTCACTTACCCTCAGACACTGCTGGGGGATGGTTCCCACTTTGGGGGGTGGGGGAGGGTGAGGACGGGAGCTATGTAAGTCACACAGTTGCTACCCCACAGCAGCCTCGATGGCCCACGTGAGCTCTTCACTACAGAGCAGAACAGAAGCTGTGCTGGTAGCACCACCATTCCTGGGAGACAGAGGACCGGCCTACACAAGTGACCCTGCAGAAGGGCAGCTCCTTGTCCACTGCCACCTCATTTCATGACCCACCCTCACCAAGCACCCTGTGCTACAAAGCCTGGCTTTGCGGGCCTATTCAAGCCCTTCCTGGTATATGCAGTATCCTGGACCCAAGTCCAGGTTTAAGCTCCAGCACCTCTGACAGCGAGACTCCTACAAAGCCCAGACCTGCGCCCTGATGTCTCTCCTGCAATAGTGCCCAGCCCCTGCCGGCAAGCCCTCTCCCACATTGACCTCCTGCCCTGCTCCCTGAACAAAGCAGTCCTGAGGCAGGGTGGAGCAGTTACGGTCAGAAGAGCCTGAAAGGCACATGAAGGGTATCACCCAAAGAAGAGACACTCCGAACATGTAGCCCTGGGTTACCAGCAGTATCCCCCACCCCCACCCATACACAGGCCTGCGGGACACCTAAGCCCCAACGGGAGCCTCTCCAAATTGATCAGCTCGGTTACCCCGTCACGCTATACACCTCACGCCTGGGCCCAGGAACCAGGGCTCTACGGATGTCAGACAGGCGACAGGGTGCCCAGGGATCCCCCTGCTGGGGCCTGAGTCCTCCAGGACACTAGAAGGTCTGAGGCCAAGTTTGCTTTTCCCCGGCTGGGCCAATGAATGCCACACTTTGAGGCCTTCCTTCCCTCCCCTCCCCGTGCCTCAGCTCACATGGTACCCTCCACCAGGTATGACCATCAGGATCAGAGAGAGAGCTATAGTAAAGAAGGAACTAGGAGAAGCATAGTCGGCATTTACGAGTTTAACTATTCCCAGCCATCACATCACAGCTGCTCCAATTTACAGGTAAGAAGACAGGCTTAGGGGCTCTGGCAACCGGCTCACGCTTGGTGAGGACACAGCAGGGCCATGCCAGCAGTCCAGACCTGGCAGTCTCACTGCCCCCTTCTTTCTTGGGCAGGTAGCAGACACCAGACTGGTCAGGGAGCCAAGCAGGCAGGGTATATGCTCACGTACACATACATTTACCAGACCCAGGGATGACTGTGGGCTGACCCTCAGCAGAGGGAACAAGAATCACGGAGACAGGAGCAGCACCATGCCTGGCAATGGTGGGGGGCTTGGTGGGGGCATGCCTCAGGACTGGCCAGGGACAGGGACACTGCTGAGGGACAGACACAGAGTGCACCCACCATTCTCAGCCCTTCGCTTACCCACAACCCCAGCCTCACATCTGGGCTGCTCTGCTTTCGGGGAGGGTCTTCCCTGGAACCTGGGGCCCCTGGCTCTGAATGACCAAATCAGCCATTTTGTTCAGTCAACACATGTAAATCCAGCCAAGACCGCTTATCCCCACTGTGTACCCGCCTAGATGACTCACCACTGCCCTCCAGGTGTCTGGGCATAGCAGCTTCTCTGACTAACTTAGATCTTGTCAAGCCCTCTACCCCACCTGCACTCTATGTTCCAGAATACTGGACTGCCTTAAAGTCCTCAACCCCAAGCCTCTGGAATGAGCACCTCCTCTGCCTGAACTATCTTCACCCCCCAGCCCCTTCTATGCCTGGCTATTGCCCAAGCATCCTTTAACCTTTGGGGTACCTCCTCTGGAAAGCCTTCCTTGACCCCGGCACTCCCTGGTGAGTTGCTAAATGTCTGCTTTCCCCAGCTGACAGACTGAATGAAAAGAGTCCAGACTAACTGCATTCCTGGCACTAGCACTGAGCCCAGCACACACCAGACTTGTTAACGTTTGGCAAACAGATCTCTAGCTGCTTTTCCCAGCTTCGGACCATTCTGAGCTGCGCTCTACTTGACCAAGAGCAAAGAAGTGGGCTTATATTGCCTGGAGCTACTTCACCTGG